AGACTATGAGAGATTATATTGTAGGTAAAAAGGAGGAGAAAAAAGAGGAGATTAGACAAAGCTCATCTGTGTAGATATGAAATCCAGCACAGTATCAGTGAAAGATGCTCTGGACTTCAAAGCCTTGAAGCAGCAGCGTGAATGTGAAGGGATGATCCATCATGTTACATCATGTCTACATTTGGGCTTGTGTAACCGTTTCCAAGGCATCTCAAAGGACAGTAACTGAATTCCTTGGAAAATGAACTCACTTGTCCAACATGGACGGAAAAAAAAAAGTTCTGTTTATAATTCTTGTACGATATCAGATTTTATAACATTTAGCTAAAGCACAGGGGTTTGCTACTTGAGATTAATAGCAAGAGTGAATGGAAGGAGCTTTAAATCATACTTAACACATGATGCTGTGTATTCAAGATTTATACCATACAGAAATGTCTGTGACGAGAAGCAGTTTTATCTGATTTCATAAACTGTCTTGCCTTTTCGTTGTTGCACTGTCCTGCATTGACTGCTTTAAGCACGAAAAAGCTGCTTTTTCCCCCCTCCCTCAATCTTATTCTATTTGAATAATTCAGAGCCTTTCATTCTTCTTTTTTAGTTCTTGTTCCCATCTGTTTTCACTTTTGGTAAGCATCACCATTCGTCAAAGTTAAAAATCTAGAATTATGCCATTTATTTTTGTCTAATTTATTTTCCTAGCCTCAATCTTACATGTATTTCATTTTAATCTTTCTTTTCTCTAATCCTTAGGATTACTCCTCTAGATAGTACTTAAATCATCCATGCTTCCAGTGAACTTTGTTGAGGTGAGATGGCATGACTTTTCTGACCACCACATCTCTCCCTTTTTATTTCATCTCAATCCTTGATTTATGTTTTAGATGTGGGGAGCGATGAATCCTTGAGCTCTCTCATACATAAAGGAAGAGAAATAGTAACGGTTTATTGATGATATGAACAAGCCGATACTATTTCTGTTCACTAAATCAAACCAGTCTCCCCTTAAAATAATCAGAGAATAAACATCCTACTTTGAATGATCACCGCCCTGTATCTCCAGCTATGCACACTTTTATTGCACTTTGCTTAACAGTATATACTAGCCATCAACATTTCCATAAAGATGGAGGCATAAACATTTCCCTGCTTTCTCTTTTACCACACAGCATGACCCTGATTTCTCTCATCAGCTCTCCAAGCTCCCTTCTATTCCCTCTCCACTTTCTCTGCTCGCTTTGTGTCGATTCACAGCTGGAAGTAAACTGCTGGTTTGATCTTCAAGCATCCAATCTGCTCTCATTCTCAAAAACTTTGCATTCAATGTTTTGCAGCAGTGTAATGTTAAAAGGCCCACAAAGAAGGACCCCCCACACACACACCTTTAGTTGTTTTTCCACTTTGCTTGCTGTGAACAAAAAGGAGTTTTGTGTGTCGAGTTTCCCCCAAAGGCGTTAGAACTTTGGAATTAAGCAACTTTGGTACAGTTTTTGTGTAAATATATTTTCATAAATCTCAGCTGTATGGGTGCCAGAAAAACACAAATACTGTGTCTAATAAAAAACATCTTTAAAGGGGAAGCAGCCCCCCACCCCCACCCACACAGCTGTACTCCATCCCTGTAGACAAGCTAATCTCAGATAAGGGAGCAAAGACTGGCTTTTTTATTAATGTGTCCGGCTCTCCAACAAAGGCAGGCAGAAAGCAAACACACACAAACATCCCAGATGAAGTAAGTAATTTGCAGACTCTTAAGTATTTAAGCCTTTCAAACAATGATTTCATATAAGCTGGTCTGAACACAGCAAGAGCAACTATTAACTTAACTCTGTTACTGTATTTGAATCATATTCAGACTGCAAAGCTATTTATTTTCTCTTTGCTCTCTCATTGCCCTCTCATTGTACAGTTTTTTAGGTATAACCTTTGATATATTTGCAGAGTTTAAACCGAAGATCAGGACACTGCAGATTTTCTTGGGTAAATAATAACAAGCCTGTAAACATAGAGAGCTGTATTATCACGAGGAGCAATAGCTAATCTTTCTTTATCTTACAATTAATCTTTGCACAACAGCAGCAGATACAAATACAAATTATTTGGAGGCTAAAAGGAATGCGTGCTGTGAATAAAAACCAACTTGGAACTAAACCTCAAAGAAAGAAACTAGGCTTTAAAGGTGCATTGCACAAGTTTAGAAGTGTTATATATATATATATATTTAATATATATAATCAAACCCACGGTACAGGTGACCGTGATTCGTTTGATTCCCGGCATTCCCGACATCCAGGTGGACCCTTAGGCAAGGTCCTTAGTGCTTAGTGGCCTACCTCAGGCATGAGTGAAACCGCAAATACAAGAGCCATACCGGCTCGGATGTTGCCCGGGTTAACAAGGTCCGCGTCAGTTGCTAGGGAACCAGGGCAACTTGATGACAAATTGGCTACTGGAACAAGACATATATGGACTAGAGCAGAAAACTTTGAACTGATGAAATGCTACTATACAAGCGTCCCCAGTGAGATGGGTTACATGCAGAGACTATGGGAGTTATGGCAGCTCCGACAACCATCTTAGCCATTTGTTTGAACTTTCTACATAGTGCACCTTCTCAAGTAGTTCGAGGAACAGAGGGCCAAAACGCAATAGATAGGGATAGTTTGATTAAATTTCATTTCAGGCTGCATATGCATTTCAGCAACAAACAGATTTCTTAAAGCCTGGCTTTGCAGGAACTCTCACTAGTGAGAAGCCTTTAAATCCTGATGTGTGAAGGACTGTGCCACGTTCTTTACTTCTGTCTCAGTGTCCCACAAACTGAAATTAATTCCTGCATTTGACTGGGTAAAAATTCCAAAAAAGTAGAAAAAAAATGGTAGGGCATTTTTCTAAATGCAAGAGCTGCAGTAATTGTCCTAGAGTCGCACTGGTGGTCAAACAAAATACTCTCTTAAGAGTGAGTAACAGGAAAGATGTATATGCTCCAAAGTTATAATAACCTGGATAATTTTGGATCACAGTGTAGCACTCAGTTTGAGACTTGACATGTACAATTATTCTTAACTACAGCTGAGGTTCATGAAGCCTTAAGTGGTCAGAGATTTTTTTCCTGTTGCAGAGGCACCTTTGATACTCAAGGTTTTCATCAATTCACATGATACAGCTACTGATTTTAATCCATTTGTTTCTAGCCCCTTGCTCTTCCATACAGTTAGTTTGTAACCTTTGAATTCACAGCTTATTCACAGCTTTAGGTTTGTGATCTCAACCTCTGCTCTGAGCAAAAATAATTTTTCCTATGTGTATAGAGAGACATGCAGTATATAAACTAAATACTTCCCCCTCCTTTAACCCATTACTGATGGGCTTAAAGTTTGAAGCCCATAAGAAACAGCGCATTGATTATGAGCTGTAATCCTGTACTCCAGGTGCGGTTTGGATGTCCGGAGCTGTAATCAAAATGTCTGCCCCTTCCTGTCATATTAAACACAAACTGCAAACTTGAGTTTCAACTTGAGATGTGAAAAAACCTGTCTCAAAAGTGCAAAGTTGTTAGTGAAAGGTGAAAAAGTGAAGCCTCACAAGAGCAAGCAGACGTGACACAGCAGACATGCATGAGCTGCATTATCTCCACTGCACAAACCATATTTGCAACATTGTCTGTAACAACTACAGGGTGTTTGCTGGTCAGCCCCCATTTGTTAATGTCTTCGGTCAACCTATTGGCTATATTTGCAGCTGCCTGTCTTGAAGTAATCTTGGTGGTCTGTAGCACGAGATGCGAGGCGCCACTCATTATCAATCTAATGGGAAGTCACCTTAATGTCCCATATCCACGATATTATCTTTAGCTGTTTTAAATCCAAAATCGTTCCAGACATCAGACTTCAGTTGGGACAGCATGCTGAGGGTTGTGTTACTTGGGTTTGCATTTGCACACCCCTGCTCATTTAAATGTGAACGTCATGCGTGTCACTATAAATCCAAAATCCATTAAATCGATTTTTTTACCCAGCCCTACATATCATAGAAACAACCTATAGTTTTAAATGGAGATTAAAACCAAATAAATCATATGTGCATCATTCAAAATTTAATTGAGTTAAAACTATCTTAAAGATATTTTTTTATAAAACATTTTAACCTTTCATGAAGATACATAGCTTCCAAGTGAAAAACAACCAAGGAATCTGAAGCTGAAAATGCTAATACCCAGAAGGAGGAAGTAACACAAAGCCTTTGTAAGTAATGCTGTTTATTTTTGATGAACAGTTCAATTTCGTGTCAGGGTGTGAGCTAAACACATTAAAACATTAGCAGAACCCTGGACTGATCTCATATCAAACTATGAAGATTTTATGCAATGGAATACATTTTTTTGGAACCTGTAATGCTAACATCCTGGGCTGTGTTGGAAAAAGGCAGTTCAACAATGCACACACCTAAATCTTGGGATAACCTGACCTTTAATTATCTTTCTGGTGGTGTTTTAGGCTTCTACAGGGGAAGCTTAAGGGATCTCTGTGAACTGCAGGACATAATTTATGAATCTATCTGCATTTATTTAATCTTTTAAAATCAAAACCATTATAGTAGAAATATACTTGGTAAATGTTCTGTTGTCAGGGTATTCACACAAGCGTGGGCTATCATGATTAGCATCACATCCCATCTGGTCAGTGCTTATCAGTTAAAAGTCAGTCCACAATATATGTAAACACCTACACTTAACCAGCTATAGGAAGCATTAAATTACTCCACCTCTTTGCATCATGCATAATATTCCTGAGCTTTTAGGTTGCGCTGGTCATTTGCATGCATAGAGAATAGCACATAAGAGGCCTCAGAAGGTTTAAAACTGCAGCTGTTGCTCTTAAAAGTCAATTAAACGCAAATGCTCTGTTAGGAACACCCACATGCATACACATTTGTTTAATAAAAAGTGCTGAATGTGTCAAGATAAATTTTAGGGCTGGATATATGAGCTTTGTCCTTACCTGCACTCACAGTGATGGCTTCAATAAACTGGTCTCTCCAGCTGTTGGTACCTACCAACAGAGCTAAGTTGGTCTTCTTTATCAGCTTGTCCACCGTATTCTGTCAAACAGAGAAAGAAAAAATCTTATTTATCTAAAAAGATATATATTTTTTCAAAACCAGTTTCAGGAGATAAGTATCGGCTCCATGGTAACACAAACTAAAGGACAAATCTTTTTTATGTTTCTTCAGTCCAAGTGTTACGAATTATTGCAAGTAAATTAATGGAAATTTATTGCAATTGAAATCATGGAATAAAAGGTAGTTGACTGGCCTGTCATCTGGTCTGGTTACCAGTATTGAGTATTCATTTTGGGGACTGAGCCTTTTAAACTCCGGAGAAACTTTTTTACCTTTTAAAGCATCATGATGTTTTTTTTTGTTTGTTTGTAATAATTTGTTCAGATAAATCAGTCCCCTTCTGTTTTGGTCAAATATAACAGTATGCCAGTGTTGCGAGGGTCTCTCTATGATGCAGTTCAGCCTGTGATTGTTGCTTCAACACTTCAGACCCCAGCTCTGTCGTCCTCGCCCTGCATTGCCAACAGATGCTATAAAAACTCTATAAAAAGTAGAGAACATTTCCCATTTTATGTTTGTTCTTTTGTTTTTATTTTGAAAACACAGTGTACTTTTTGGTAAAAAGAATTAGGAGTCTTAAGAGGTTCTTTAACCATAAATGCTTTTATTCAACTTTTAAGCATCTTTACGGACCTGAAGTGTGTACAAGGTTTCTTCATTAAACAATAGAATTAATCTTATTTGTCTTCAAACAATCACCTTTCACAGTTTTACAAATATCGTAATCTACACTGCTATTTTGTTTCATTGTTTTTCTGTTTTTTTTTCTAACATTTGGGTGCCAATTATTCCAGTGTTAAAGGAAGGAACCATGTCAGATTAGGTTAACACAAACACTTCAGCAAATGCATGCACTCACATTCTAATCAAAGGAAGCAGTAGGAATTGTGCCCTTCTTTTTGGTTCACTTCAGAAGAAAAACAGGATGCTAATTGGGCTGAATGGTGCTTAGGGATGTAAAAAGGGTCCCCCTGCTGTTGTTAAACTCCTCCTTCCAACACAAACACACACACACATATGCACGTGCATCTATATGAACTCTTTTGTATTCTCAATAATTATCCATTTACAAAATAGCTAGATTTTTAGATCAGCTCTTCCCCTTTTCTGAATGATTACTGTTTTTATCTAATTTACTGTACATATGTACCAGTACTATGGCAGTGTATCAGTGTAAAGGTGGATATGTAAAATACTACACCTTTACTGCCTCCACAGTCTGGATTTAGATAAAATCTTCAAGGATCAAGTCTTACCCAGATTTAGATTTGAGGGTTTAACAACATAATTTAGATAAAAATAATTTGCAAGCAAATGGTTTTCTTTATCATCTGGATCAATAACAGTTGCTAAACATAATGGATAAAATGAATATTGTACTTTTTAAATAGGATTTAAACCTCAGATAAACTCTTAATTTAACTATAAATTTGCACAAAATGTCTTCTGCTTTTTTGCCATCTGATATCAGACCCCATTACGCTCTACATCCCACTAACACTCACCACTTTAGATAACTATAGGATCTAGTTTCACAAAGATTCACACAGATGTATAATTTCATGCACTGGAGCTCTTGACAAAGTATTGGATCTTGTCAAGTAGCAAGCCATTACTGGGAGTTATTAATTGTCTGCCTAAAGTGAGCATGTAGGTGGAGCGACCGGCAAAAGAACATGCATTAGAGCACACAAAATGTAACGTGGACGGTAATTACATCCAAGCCCATCTTAAGAGAGTGCGTGGGAGAATTGAGGAAATGACATACAGATGTTATGCAACTATTTCCTACTTGCAGAACGGTTCATCCAATGCATTTGGAAGTTTCCTTTGGTTAGATTATGTGGGCATTTGTGACAGTAACAATTTAACTAAGAAATATGACTGTCTCATTGACTGTAATAAAAAAAAGATGCGTTTCTCATTTTGTCTCAATACACAAAACATAAATAGCTTCACAGCAGGTGCAGGAGTGGCTATATACTGTATTTCAGTCTGAGCTTTCCATTAACATTATGTCTACATGCACAGGGATCAGAAAATTTTACTTAGTACTGTTTAATCTCTGTTTTGCTTTAAAATTGTCTCTAAAACTGGCTTTTCAAGCCTCCGGCCAAAACACTGCTTATTTGTCATTTTTCCTTAATGCTTTTTTAGAGATGTTTCTCTCTACCCAAAGGAAAGAGAGAGGCCATTTCACTGTGCAGGAGTCCCTGTTTGAGGCCAAACAGAGGGGTGAAGGTTAATGCTCTCCTTCAGCTGGGTAAAGTGGTGATCACAGAGTGGCAGGTGTTTACAGGACAGGTGGCATGTCTCATCACATATCTCTGACCTACACTAATGCTTCAGCAAAATCTGTGACAAAAAGAACCTCTTCCCTGAAAACATTTAGCTTCTGCTTGATGAAAACAACGCTAAATTGTAAAAGGCCGCTTATTCGCTATTTGTGATATAAGCAAACTAGGGCTAAAACAATCAGATTATTCGATTATCATAGCCTTTGGCTATCCGATTAATATCAATTATTAATCGATTAATGGAAAAAATTCATAAGATTAATCAATTTGGAAAATATTCGTTAAGCTCTAAGTCAAACCATCAAGCAAACCAAGATCTAATCTTACAGCAGTATTTCCACATTTGTTGGTGAATGGCCTTGAATGGCCTTAAATGTCACCATAAGAATTTTATATTGAATCCGGTACTGCACAGGGAGCCGGTGGAGCTGTTGGAGAACCGGGATGATGTGGTGGATAGAGAGAGTTCTTGTTATAATGTGGCCAGCTGAGTTCTGGACCAGTTGTAGTTTATGGAGTGATTTTTGAGGAAGGCCAAAGGGGAGAGAGTTACAATAGTCCAGTCAGGACGTGACGAGGCTGTGGACCAGGGTGGCAGCAGTGTGAGGAGTAAGGGAAGGACGGAGGCGGTTGATGCTTCTTAAGTGGAAGTAGGCAGACCGGGTAATGTTATTGTAATGGGATTGTAAGGATAGGGTGCTCTTGAGGATGACACCCAGACTCTTAACCTGAAGGTACGGTTAGATGGAGGAGCTGTCAATAATAAGTGGGAAACTGTCAGTTTTGGAAAGAGTTGATTTAGATCCAATAAGGAGAACTTCTGTTTTACTACTCTTTAATGGAAGGAAGTTGTTGGTGAACCAGGCTTTTATTTCAGAGATGCAATCTGTGACGGAGGTGGGAGGAAGAGAAGATGATGGTTTTGCGATGAGGTAGAGCTGGGTGTCATCGGCATAGCAGTTGATGTGAATGTTAAATCTGCGGAAGATATTGCCAAGGGGAAGGAGGTAGATGATGAAGAGGAGGGGCCCCAGGACAGAGTCCTGAGGTACACCTGAGGTGATGGGGGAGGGGTCTTCAGTTGAATGAACTGAGTGCGGCCAGAGAAATAAGAAGTAAACCAGTCCAACGGGGTGTTAGTGATGCCAATCGAAGAAAGCCTATTGAGAAGGGTGGTGTGACAGATGCTATCAAAAGCTGCACTCAGGTTGAGAAGGATGAGGATAGTGAGTAACCCAGAGTCAGATGCCATGAGGAGGTCATTGGTGATTTTGATGAGTGCTGTTTCAGTGCTATGAAGTGGTTGGAAACCGGACTAGATCTCTTCATATAGGCTGTTGCTGCTGTTACTCTGGCTTTTGTTTGATTAAAGAGAAGCAGGGCTTATGAGAAACATGTTAATCCTTTTGACTGTGTCCAATCCCATGGAACTACTAAAGGAAACTTAATATTAATCTTAATATTTTAATAAAATTTACAAGAATCAATATAAAATTGCATCTGACAGGATTGTGACAGCTGAAATTTAAACCAGTTTTATCAGTGATGGATTCTGTATGTTACTGGTGCTTCAGTGCTCATTCCCAGCAATGATTAATGATGTTTTCCAACACGTCTCTGAGCTAACTGCTCCATAACTGATATCTCTTATTGTTCAAGGTCACGGATAAATGCTGCACTCACGTTACGGATTGCCTTTTACACCAAGACTGACAGGATGGAGCAGATTTCATCTTAAAACAAATACCCGCACATTTAGGTAATGCGCAAGGTCAATTGAATCTCCTTGATGTTAATGCTATTTGGGGGATTTTAAAAAATTAAAATCAACAGACTGGAACCAGAAGAGCAACGTAATCCAACAAGGATTCTGAGAGGAAATTGTCCAGAAGTGGCACTAAAATACAGTATGACATAAAGCCTGAACAGTAACACCCCCTGACATAAATGCGCTCTGTAAAACAGTTAAACACCTTACATTATCTTACTGCAAAAAGAACTCAAACGTACCTTAAACTCGTATGATTCCTCAATGATGACCTCCAGTTTGACGTGATCTCCCAGCATGGGACGGCCCATTTCTGCTATACGCCGCTCCTCTTCATCTTTTCCCGTTAGTGGCTCTTCTTCCTCTCCTTCTGCCTTTGGCTTTTCCTCTGAAAAGATCACAGGAACAAATCAGATGGTAGAATTTTTTCAACGCTAGAGCAGGGGTGTCAGATCATGGTTTTGTAAGTAATCAGGAAGCCTTGATCTTCAAGGGTTCTGGCATAGAAACTTGGGATAAAAACTGGATTGAAAGGATTGAGATGATATTTTGGTTTTAGCGGATGGATTTCTGAATAAATGATACATATGGAATCTTCTTTCTCAATCTATGCACATTTGTGCATATACCTAAATTTAAGTATAAGGTCAAAGTATTAAAACTAAATAATTTACTATTCATTATTAAATAGTTTTTCAAAGCAGATAAAAAAAAAAAAAAAAAAAAAACTGTTTAGGAAGAAGGGATCTGAAACAATTGGAACGCTTCTATCGAAAGCCACAGTCATAGAAACAGCAAGGAGTAAAACACCTAGGGCAAGGAAGGGGGACAAAAGATGCTTTTTAGGAAAAAAAAAGTCTTACTCTTATAGGGTTTACTCTTTAATACATGCTCTGTGGATACAGATGTCTGCTGAAATCCACGGATTACATTATATAGAACCGCTTTCCCTGAATGATCCTCCTACATGTTTAGGTGCATTACTTAGATTTATCTGTGGCTTTCCTTTTATCTGTGACATTTTAGTGCTGCTGCAGTGAAGTATTCCGACTTCTATTCCATCTGCTACTTTAAGGTGGTTAAGCTAAACCCGAAAGTAAAACAGACTGATTACTGTATGTGGAGACTTGCATAACCACTGCAATGCTGACTAACTTGGCTGTATGCATGTATCAACATATTTTACTATATGTAATATGGAGACACAGTGTGGACAGGAACATGCCAAAATGCCTTTGACTAGTGACAGCATTGCTTAGAAACAAAGCAGAACATGTGCTGTTAGCCTGACTGCTTTCAGAAGTTGGATTTAGTCTATTTATTTTTGGGTTGACAGGTAAAACTTATTGTGTGTCCTTGAACCAGTTTCTCACTTTGTGTTCACGTTGATACAATCATATTGAGACAGAGAAAACTATAGGTGTTTAACACAATTCGTTTCTTTAGATGGCAATGGAGCCCTTTGCCTGGACTGATTTGACAATTTGAAGACAGATCCATCCTGGCACAGTTGAAGGACTACACTGCCTTGACCGGACTCCTCACAGGAGTCAAAAGTTTAAATCCTATTAAACAAATTCACAGAATTACAGGGTCTGACCTGGAGATGAGGCTCCTATTTAGATCTTAATGTCCACAACTCTTGACAAAAAAATATTTTAGTACAAATATTGATCTTTAAAAAGGATTTGAAGGGGGACCAGCCAAGGACCCATCAAGGAAAGTCGGGAAATCTTAAATGGCTTCTACGTCGAAACAGTATTGTAAAAAAAATCAGCTCTACTTTCAGCTAAATTCTAAGAACAATCTGCTGTGTAAAAAATTTTTTTGTTTGTAAACCTCTGTTAAGAATGTTCTTTAAAAAGGTGGGTACTTATTCATCAGTGGTGTCTAAAGATAATTTTACTACACCTCATTCAGTCAAAGCAGTTTTTTTAAAAGCTAGAAGAGATTTTTACTGCAGGAACGAGCAGCGAGCTGAGCTTTGCAATGCCAATTGGCTAAAAAGTCATAAAGTGGGTGGATGTTCAGCACACTTTGAACACAGACTGACAGGAGAGATGATGGCGCAGAACCACTCATTCAATGACAGCATTCCTAAGAAAAAGTGCAATTTAAAACTAAATGTTTACATGGTTTACTCATTATGTGTAAATTAAAACTATCCACGTCGGTTAGAAGCAGCTCTGATCTAAAGAAGCTCCTCACATAATCAACTGATTGATAGCTCGCTGCCTTTATCAACACATCTTACTTATTTCCTAAATGTTATGCTAAATTCACTTGCAAGGCTGTTTGGCTGTTCTTCTATGCAACAACACTGGGATTATAGCCCTGCCTTTTTTTCCCTCTGGAAAAATGCAACCCTGGTTTAATTCTATTGCAAAACATATTTTATTTTTGCCAAAAAGTATAATTTTTTTGTTTCATACCTATTTCCAGATTAAATCAATTTAATACTACGTTATTAATCCCCGAGGGAACTTCAGTTTTGTACACCCTGTCCAAATGTGGGGGAATACCGTGTCCGAGGCCTTGCTGCTACAGTATGAAAGGCGCTGCCCTTAAGACTGTCATCGTGCAAAAATACAAAGATTTTAATTTTCTTTACTCGTCTTTGATTACATGAAAAAAAACAATTACATCTACCTAAATATATTGTAACTCATGTGTCACATCACAACTTGAAATGGCGCAGATTACTTTCCTATGTTTCCCAATATGTGGTCATTTTGATTAATTCTTGAATTAAATATCATCTAACATCTTATATGTCACAACTGATCTTTCAGTTCCAGCTAAAATAAGTAGTAGTAGTTGCCTCCATCGTGTAGTAACAGAGTTACCAAACTAGATTGCAATGGAATTACTGAATTAGTTACTTTTCTGGAGAAGTAACTATTAACTGTAAGTAGTTCTTTGTGTAAGGTAACGATCTGAGATTCTCCTTTATAGTTAAAGGTATAGTGGAAGATGTCCTTTTTCTGGGTGGATCATCAAAATAAGTGGTCCTCCTAAATGTCAATCATTCTGGTGATATGTTTACATAAGGCCGTCCTACGTGCTCGTCCCCATTTTTTACTTACCGAAGGTGCGTCTGACATATCAGAAAAATTGATAATCTTTTTAAAGTAAGCTTGTATGAGGGATGCAAACAGCAACTTTTAAACAGAGCGTGCACGAGGAGAAATGGGCTCATGCATGCTCTCGTACGCCGTTAATAGTTGTTCCCTATCAGGAGTGGGTACAGGGTTGTGCATTTGCATTTGTAAAGTGAGTCTTTACAAAAATTTACAAAAATCCTCCAAGACACCTTAAAGTAGCCAACTGCGATCATCTTATTCTCATTTTTCCAACAAAAAGCACATCTTTCCTCTCACCTGTTACATTTACTGTATGTAAAGCCTACAAACAAATACAAAGGTTTAAGCAAACTGTTTTACTCCTTAATGTTTCTGACCCCCCCCATCCTCTCTTGCATTATGCCAGTGATGCTGCACTGGTGAGTTTATCTAGAGTTTACATAAAATAACGTCATACGTGCTAAATATAACTGAGGAGGACATAACAGGTTAGTATCAGGGCGTAGTCAAAGTCATTCAGTGTTTACATTGTTTCAGAAGCATCTGTTGATGTCATGTTTGCTTTTGTCAGCTGTCAGCCCGCTTAGTGACGTTGCTTTATTTGTAACTTTATGTGAAGTGGGAACATCCGCAATAGTCACTCAGGACGGATTTTAATGCCAAGTCTGCTGATATCTGAATCTATAATCAAGATATCTAAAATCATAATTTCAAATAATCACTGGTAAATATTTAAAATGGAGGAGCGGATAAAAAAAGACAAGAAATATTACAACTTTAAAATAAAGCTGGTGATGGACAAAAATATGTAAATGTTTTAAAGAGGAAATTCTTTTAGATAGAAACAGTCACAACAACCATATGAAAAGCAGTCAGTTTTCCTCTGAATAGCAGTTCAGTTATGGACTCTGACTGACGCAGTATTTCAGTGCTGAGATTTCTGTATCATTTTTGAGATTGTAAGTAATCTGATGATTACTCTGGCAGCCATCAACCCCCCACCTCATCCCTGCGCATTGCTGTTTTAATATATTATGTATCAGTGTCTGATCCTCCTAAGCTTACTCCTGGTGACATGGGTATGATCACACTCAGCCCCTTTCCTATGTGTCGTATTACTGTTTTCAGAAAGTGAAGGTGTACTCATAGTCCCAGATAACAGTTATAAAGGTTACTCGCTCTGTTTGACATTTCCAGCATAAATTATTAGTGAGTAGAGCCATTCTGGGAAGCCTATATAGAGTAAAATCAAATCTGTGAACCATCTTATAAAGCACAGCACAGCTTTCTCTCTCCGACAATGTTTCCCATTATTCAACGGCATTTCTAACCATTCATCTTCAATAATGTTATAGATTCGTCTAGCAGGCTGTCCTCAAACCTTTACATTTATTACTTTATGTGCCATCAATACTATAAAACTGGAGGGCCTTGTCTTTGATACTGGTTGAACGCCCACAGTTCAGCATCAAGCTGACACTTTATGGAGTTATTTTTATGTCTTTATTAAAGAAAAAAAAGGGTGAAGAAAGGAAGAATCATTTTGAAAGTAAAATAAATCTATTAAAGAGAACTGTCTACACAGATAAAAAGAAATGTTATTTGAAAACGATTTCCAAGGAAAAAAGCACTTTCAAAAATATATTTTTCCCATGTGATTTTTTTGTAATCTGAGTGAAAACAAAATCTCTGAAAAATAAATTTCTCTCTCACAACCTTCTTCTTTTCTTTCTCAAAGCTTAAGTCTTTGCTCTCGATTCAGGATTTTTCTCTCAATGTGAAAAATATGCTACGAGCAGGACTGTTTTCCTATTAGCCACTCTCAACACATTTGACAGCTGAGTGGTGATATTAGGTGCGTCCGAGATTAAATGCGCATCGCCTGGAAGGTGGACGAGAGCTTACAGCGGTGTTGATTGGCAGGTTTAAGTCTGTTATGAAGCTGGACAGAACTTTCTACAACTGAACAAGATAGCTAATATCACGTTTGTGTTATGCAACTTATTGGTGAAAATAACACATCAACACAGCCGTAAGCTCTTGTCCCCATTCCAGGCGAGGTGCAGCTACAGGTGGAGCCAGGCAGTCTGGGCAAATGGGGGCGTAGCCACCTATACACAAAATATCACCACTCAGCTGTCGATTCTGTTAAGACAGGTCCGCCCATGACATTTTTTCCACATTGAGAGAAAAATTAATTGAGAGCAAAGACTTTAATTTTTGAGAGAAGATACTTGATACTCGGATTGAAAAAAAAAACCAACCCAATATATAAAATATATATTTATATATATTTTAAATAAAT